TACAATAAAAAAGGTTTGGGCCAGGGATTTAGCTCAGTGGTTCTACCAACTGCCTTGCAAGTGCAAGGTCCCAAGTTCAATCCCCAGTATCAAAAAAAATTGTTTTAATTTAAAAAAATAAAAAGAGTTTATAATAGTCCCATTCACCTACTGGCCCATGATGCTAAAATTGTTCCTCAATTTCAGAGCTTAGGAAATTAATGAACACCATTCTAGGCTTTCAAAGCTATTTAAACATAAAATTTCATTAAATTACATAAAGGTCTGATATTGGAAGATGAAAATATTCTCTTCATTTTACAGGCCCTTGAATTTTTTTAAATTGTTTGCTTCCAAGAAAACAACCAATCTGTGACCAAGATGTAATTAAGACCCACGATTTCTAATTCCCAGGCTTTGACTCCAACCTCTGAAAATGCTTCAATTCAATGAAACTAATGGCACTTTGGTCTCTGGAATTAGATCCTGTTATCAATGACTTCCACATGGAAAGATCATTCCAAAATGTGTAATTAACCAAGAAAATGCAAATAAACCAATTTGTACCTGCTATTTAGAAGTAAGACACAGAAATGGCTTGAGTCATTATTTGAAAATGTCACCCTTTTCTGTTTCAAATGCAGCCCATGTCTCCAGTTGTTTGCATATTTCTTTCAAAAATTACTTTTCCAGTAAAATATTTTAGATTATTCAATGATTCAATTATCAGTGCAGAGTCTGGAATGGAGAGAGAAATACTTGGAAGCAATGGGAAGAAAATCCTTCTTTTAATGCCCTTTAGCAATTTGATTCAATACATATACGGCTCTATGCTGAGGGTGAAAGTCAAACTCTCAGGCTAGCACAGCTGGAAAAATTATAACGCTTGGCCAATGTTAGAGTGAACCCAGCAGAGTGGGTAAATGCTTATGTTTACTTTGTAAAAAGCAGGCAAAATCAGTATAATAACACAAGGAAAAGTCCAGAAATTCCTCTTCTAGAGGAAGAAATATTTAAGCTGGACTTGGAAGCTTCTTCCAAATGACAGAAGCTTAATTCAAAAATAATTTAAGGACTATTGGTTGGCACTATTAAAACAAGACCTGAGACACCCAGATGCTCCCAGTCTCTGTGGCTCTCTTATCTCTCTGGTCGTCCTCATGGTGACCTAATTGCATCTTACTATATGAGGGCTCTCTCTCTCTCTCTGTGTGTGTTACAAAGTGTGGTCACTGGCAGCTTTGGGCCAACATTACTCTTTATTAATGACACAGGAAGAAAGACTCTCTCTTCTCTACCCTTGCTACAGGAAGGACCTCAAATGCTCAAGGTCGGGTTACTTGCCCAATCTTCAACAGATCATTATGGTCAGAAACACCAATCTGTCAAGTCCCGAGTCATGGCTGTGGCTGGCAAGGCTTCCTGAAGTAGAGTTGCTGTGGGAGAAAAGCAGGTTGTTGTGGGAAGAAGGGTTCTGAATAAATGACGGAATGAATTGTATTGCAGTCTGGAAAGACAGATTAGCTCCCTAAAGCAGGCACAGGCAAAATATTTATTTCAAACAAGAGGAAGGATTTGAGTAAAAGCAAAAGAAGAAAAATTCAGTGCACATCAGAGGAGTGGATAGTACCGGTGAAACACAACAGGAAAGAATGGAGGGCTGACAGAGGACAGAGAGATGTGCATTTTTGAGCTCTTAAGAAGTTAGAACATGCGGGTGGTAGTGGTTTGTTAATAGGAGCTTCTGCCTGGAGTTCTCCTAAACTCATGATTCATTACACAGATCTGGAGGAAAAGCATGACTATGTATGAATAAATACTGGGGGTGCTTATATCCCCTGCGCTGGCTTATATTCTTTGCTGCATAACATCTTTTGCCTTTAAATAAATGCTTTATTATGTCAAAAAAAAAAGAGAAGTTAGCACTATGTTCTCAAAGACACCAAATGCACTACACACACATACACATATACATGTACATATATATAGACACATGGTGTTTGTGTGTGTGTGTGTGTGTGTGTGTGTGTGTGTGTGTGTGTTACTGGAGATTGAACCCAGGGCCTTCACACTGAGCTGTGTCTCCAATCCAATTTTTATTTTTTGTTTTGAGACAGAGTCTCAAAATTTTCCAGACTGGGCTTGAATTTGTAATCCTCCTGCTTCAGTCTCCCTGAGTACTGAGATTACTGGTATGTACCACAACACCCTGATAAGTATATTTTAGAGAGAGAATTATGTCAATATCATGGAAGATATACTATACAGAAATGGGACAGATAGTGAATGGTTAGGAAAAGTATAATGGGTATGTTGTTTTTCTGAAAGTATTCATTGCTTAGGGAGAACATCATTAGTGAAATGCTGGTGGGAATATAAATCATGATGTCCTACACAACCACAATGCTTGATCAATGCTAACAGTGCATTTCCTGGACCACAGTGACTGGTTCACGGATACGCATATGACTCATCAGAACCAACTGAATTCCTCCCTACTGCTTCACCCATGGGTTCTTTCAGACAGCGTACTATAAGTGTGTAGACTGCGTTCCAGTAGCCATTCTGCCATTACAGAGAAAGAATCTGTGTAAAACTAAAGGAAAAATATGAAAAAAAATATAGCTGAAAGGAAGAAAAGGGACAGAGCTTTATTGACATTGCTTCAGTCCTGAATTGGTAATGTCTTGAAATTTATATTTTCATGAGTCAATATCATTTTTCTTCGGTTTAAACTGATTTGAACTCCACCTCTTCTACTCAACAACTGAAAAAATTCTTATGGTAAAAATATAGTGAGCTATTAAGAGTTGGAAATGATATTCTAGAATTTTGTTCAACTCCCAAGCTGTACTCTTTCTACTTAACGTTTTTATGCTATATTGCTTGAGTGCCATTAGAAAGCAATATTCTAGATGAGAAATCATAAAAGTCTAAACTAAGCCATGAAGATCAGAGGAAAGAGAATCAAGAAATGTTTGAGATAGAAAAGCAATAGTCCTGGTGAGTTCTTTCAAACTGTTTTAAATGTTGAGAAACAGTAAGGAATCTAAGATTCTGAAATTGGGTTAACTTAAGTAAAAGAGACAAACTTGGCTGGAAAGGAACAAATCATCTTTTATTTGAAGTGCTTGTTGAATATCTAAGTGGAGTCATCCAGTGGGTTGTTAAAAATACAGTTCTACTGATCCATAGGCAACATATAGGCTTGAGAATCTGATATCTATACCAGTGTTTACAGCTTCTGGAGAGGAGAGGATTGTTCACAGACAGCCCCTCAAGTGAGAAGTAAAAGAGGGTGGAACGAAAACCCACTCTATTCCAAAACATCAGCATCTGAAGAACAGGCCCTGGTCCATGCTAATCCCTCAACTTGGAGTGTTCTTTTCCCTTTGTCTACTTACGATTGGATATGACACCGCACTATCGAAGTATCTCTGTGAGGCTTTGTTGGATCCCCCATTCTTCATCCTCCAGCTCCTGGGGCTTTCTACAGTGATATTCTTATTACCGTTCTTATTCTATAGCACTGGGGACCACAGCCAAGACTTCAGACTTCATATAGACTCGAGCTGAATTTATACTCTACAGTCTTCTCGTTATATGGTCTGAGCAGATTACCTAACTCTTGGAGCCATGGTTTTCTTCTGCATAAAATGGAGGTTGGGAGGGTGAAAACAGTTCCCTCACAAGGGTGTTTTGAGAATGAAAGAGATCATAGCAAAACTTTTATAGTGACTAGCACATAGAACCTGCTAGATATTATTTGTGTGTATAAGTCTGTTTCAACCTTCCAGGCTTCTTCTTTTCTTTTTCAAACCTTTTGAATGCAGATCCTGTGCCATTCATCTTTGTAACTTAGTTCTATAACAAAGCATTTGACACCTAACTGTCCCTCAGGAAACATGTGCAGGCTTAAGTATGAGTAGATAAGGCCAAATGCTTAACTATAAGATTGTCTTATTTGATCTGCATCAAATAGATCACAAAATAAACTCCTCTCATATTGTCTCTTTCCCTATTCTCACTCTGTTGTGCTATGACAGGAGCTAGATACATAGTTGGTACAAAGAGACACTAAGGACTTGGTTTATTATGACCAGTGTATCTAGTGCTCTATCCGAAATGGCAAACAAATCAAAGGGTCACATTTTCATTTTTTCCTCAAATATCTACTACATTTCCCTGAATTAAGCACATCTTCTGAAATGTTTGTTTTCTAGAAACTAAAGCAGTTTTCTGGGAATACAGGGAACATTTGAGACATTGCTATAAGCTATAGGATCAATTTATTATTATCTATAAGATGCTAAAAGATGCAAATAACTTTTGATTTTAGCAAGCTCACTTCTAGGCACTATCCTAATTAAAAAAGAAAACACCAAGACCTGTCATGTAGAGGTACAAGATCCCAACAATGAATGTAACTGTACTGTATCCCTAAAATGTACCAATAAACTCAATTAAAGCTGAAAAAAAAAGACTAACGTTTCTTAAAACATGTTCATTACTACAGCATTTATTATGGTGGAAAAACAAAAATAACCTAAATGTTTTTCAATAAGGAAATGGCTCAGCAAATTATAGTATAGTAGATGATTATCCAGTCAGTTAAATTATGTTTTCAAAGATTATATCATAGGAAAGTGCATACAACCTAATTTTTTAAAAAATGTTGGAGCACAATTATACACATACAATCCAACAATGTTGTAAAATGAACACACACACACACACACACACACAAAAATATCAGAAGTTAATACAAATATCTCATGCTACATCAACTCCATTTCAGTTCCTGAATTCAAGTAAAAAAATAATTGAAAAGTTAGACATACCTGTATATTAAAATAGTAAGAGTATCTATCTTGGGGTGAAAAGATGAGATTATCTTTATTTTCTTTTACAAATTATGCGCATTTGCTAAATTAAAATATTTCATTTATAATTTAAAAGTTACCAAGATACAAATATTCTTATCTTTTAATAAGAAATGCTGAAAAGAATTTTCCTTTTTAATTTGGTGTTTTGGGAAAACAAGAATTTATCTGCATCCTTGTGACTCCGCAGCCTTTTAAATCTCAGTTTAAGGTGCTTTTCTTTCTTTGTTGCCAGGTAGTTTTAGAAATACCCCAAACCAAGAAAAATATATGCTGAGGAATCTCCTGGTGCCCCAGCCAAGTTTGTCCTTTAGTTTTCTCTCTTCTTGGTCCTCACAGTCATGCATCTGAAGAACTGTACATGTTCCTTTCCCGACTGTCTTGGAGTCTCTTTAGTTATTGTCATTTCCTCTGCTGCTGTGCCAGCTCAGTTTGTCTGGATGACTTTTTGGTCTTTTAACTTGTCTTCATGCTCTCAGCCTTGATGCCTCCTCTTTGGCTCATGCAACAAGGAGAGCGATCATCCTGAAGTACAAACAAAAGAAAAACATTCAGGAGCTTCCCATGCCCAGGTTTAGTGAATACGTCCTTAACACCGTACATGAGAGCCTCATGTGATCTGCTTTCTCTCTCAGCCTTGAGCTTTTGCTTCCTTCTGCTGCTCTATGCCCAGTACATGGAAGCTGCCGTGTCAGCTGCCTAGAATGTGCCCATGCCCCATTCACCTCTTGGTGAGTGGCTGTATCACAGTCCTTTCTCTTTCACCTCTTTTGTATCAAAGTTCACTATAGGAATAGATTTTACATAGACATAGTTTACAAGGCAGGCTTGCAATGGCAGCCTGCAGAGTCAGGTGAGGAAGAGTACAGAAGGGCTACCTGCATGCTGGAGATCCAAAATATCCATCAAAAGTCAAAAGCCTGGAGCTCATTTGGAGTCTATGAGACTCTGTATAAGGGACCTTAAGGGTCTGTGCTGGGAGATGATAAAAGTCTGTGCTGGAAGCCTGGAGACAGGTCCAAAGGCGAAGTAGAAGTGAGATCTCTTTCTTCTTCCCTTTTTATTCCATCCAGGCTACAAGCCTCTTGGTTGGTGCCACTCACACCCAGGCTTGCTCTTCCCTCTTCAGAAAGTCAGTCGTCCACACACCCAAAACTATGCTATACCAATCAGTTAGGTGTTTCTTATACAAGTTGACACCACGACGAACTATCACACGTCCCTCCGGAACTAACAGTAGCTGGCATCTGACTGGCCACCAATTGGATACCTCTACCGTGGCCATCTCTTTCTCAAGAAAGTGTTTTCAGATCTCTGGGTTGGTGTAATGCATCCTACTCACACTCAATTACAGGCGCTCATGGTGTATTTAGGCATCATGAAATAGCAAAGGCAAGATGCGATGTGGACTACACTGTGACGCACTTTACCATAACTACTTGAGGGTTTTTTTCCCTGTTATGTTTATTTACTTTTTATGTTTTGTTTTATTGGTTTTTTGTCTCCTCCAAACTAAATTGTAAGCTCAATGAGGAGAAGTGCCCCATTTTATTTCCTTCCATAGCTTTTATAGTTAGTACAGTGGCTGATACATAACAGGAGCTCAGCCATACCATGGAGTGATTGAACGGGACAAACGAATGAGTGTATCTCAAATATTCATAAAGATGGCTCTTGTTTTACAGAGGGCCAGCACTATTCTACCATTAGCACAGATGAAGATAGCTGCTATTTCACCATCAGCATAGAAGATCAACACACTTTTTCCAAAAAATTATTTTAATCATTTTTAGTAAATAGTTCAATAGCATTGAGTAGATCCACGATGTTATACAACTATCATCACTGTCCATCTCCAGAGTTTTTCATCTTTCCAGACTGCTGTCAACTACCACTCTGTTTTCTGTCTCTATCCACTCCCTACCCTAGGCCCTGTGCATAAGTGGAATCACATAGTATTCATCTCTTTGTGACCAGCTATTTAGCTTAGCATTATGAAATCAGGGTTTGTCCACATGGTAGCAAGTGTCAGAATTTCCTTCCTTTTTTTCTCTTGTTTAAATTGGTTATACTGATGAAAGGGCCTCACTTTGGCAGATATGTACATGCCCGTAACATGCTCTGATCATTTTACCCAAGCCCATCACTCCCTTCCCCTACCCTTTCTCCTACTTTCACACTGGGAGAAAGTTCAATGTGTATTTTATATATTGCGCAAATCCATCTCCCCAAATACCTGCCTTTATATACCCACTTCTATTAACTTCTTCTTGTCTAATAACACTCTTCCTTCAACCTTATCAGCTTTGTTCGATTCCATGTAGTAGATAGAACATGTGATATTTGTCTTTTTGAGTCTGGCTTATTTTCTGAAGATGAGGTCTCCGGATTTATTTGTTTTTCTGGAAATGATACCATTTCATTCTTCCTGGTGGCTCAATAACATTCCACATCCTGTCTAAACAGTAAATTCTGGTGAAGATGTAAGGATTAGGAGGGAAGGAACCTGCTGGTGGGAATGTAAATTAGTACAACCACCGTGGGGATCAGAATACAGGTTCCCCAAAATCTAGTAGTAGTGTTTGTTACTAATTCAGCTACGTCACTTTTTGAAATACATCCAAAGCAATTTTAATACTATATTATAGCAGAATACTCTAAGGATACCAGCATAACCATGTGTATTATAGTAACAAACTTTTATATAAAGCAGAATATATAAATTAAAAGTCAGAGGCTTGCTTAAAAAAATGAAATAAATAAATATTAATCAATAAAAGTTTCTAGCAATCCTTAAAAATACTACTTCTTGCTAAATGGATTCACATTGAGGTCATATTCTTAAGTAAAATAAATAGGACATGCATGTGTAAATACTAGTTTCTCTGGTGTGAGAAATGGAAAGTGTAAATAAGCATCAAAATGTAGAATAGATCATGTGAAACAGGAAGATAAGGCCCAAAGGGGAAGGGGAAGTGGGAAGAGTAGGGGAAAGGAATAAATATGAGAAAAAGAAAAAACTGAAGCAAAGTATTTGTAAATAGGGAGGAGTGGAGGGCTTGAAGGGAGGGCAGGGGAATGAGGAAAAAAATAAGAACCAGAAACATCATGTAAAGGTACAAATTTCCAATGATGAATGTCATCATATTGTATACCTGAAATGCACCAATAGACTTGGTGCGTAAAAAAATACTATTCATTGCTTTTAATTCAAACGAGAGTCTTTAAATCATCTTACCAGAATCTGACATCGTCTTCGTTTCCCTAATTTTCTTCACTGTTATTTGAGTGCAAAGGATCTGGTATTCTACTGCTGCAATAGCCACGAAACATTCTTCAGAACAAGAAGCCTTTGTTATGTATTGTGGAAGGTAAGTTCCTGGGCCAAGTAAGTTTGGGAAGTGGGACTTATTATGTCATGCCTTTAGAGAGACACAGTATACATAGTTAAGAAAAATTTGTCAGTTCAACTTTTTTGAAGCCTGAATTACCAAACTTATCTGAGCTGGAAATCCAAGTGTAACGTTTTAGAAATTGTTGACATAAAACACACATGTTTATAGCAGCACTGTTTGTAATCTTGGAAACAGCCCAAATGCTTGTCAACTGGTGACTGGATAAAGGAGATGTGTTTTTTTAAAAAAACAAAATGGAGTACTACTCAGCCATAAAGAATGAGAAACTAGAGACATTTATAGCTAAGTGGATGCACATTGAGGACATATTCTTAAGTGAAATAAATAAGACACACGTGTGTAAATACTGAATAGTTTCTCTGGTGTGAGAAACTGAAAGTGTAAATAAGGATCAAAATGTAGAATAGATAATATGAAATAGGAAGAAAAGGTCCAAAGGGGAAGGGGAAATGAGAGGGGAAGGGGAAAGGAAAAAATATGAGAAAATGAAAAAACAGAACAAAGTCTTTGTAAATAAGGAGGGATGGAGGGGGTGAAGGGAGGGCAGGGGAATGGGGAAAAAAATGAGAACCAAGATACATCATACAAAGGTACAAATGTCTAATAATGAATGTCATATTGTATTCCTGAAATGTACCAATAAAGAACAAATTTTTCTAAAATTTAAAAATTTTTCAATGGAGAATTGGGTTTGAGGACAAGAGAGAAGCCCCCAATACTGTGAACACCATCCCCTAGAAGGGACCTTACTTCCAGATCCTCAATTTCATGGTTTGTAGAATGAGAAAGTTGTGCTACTTGTCAAAGATTTGTTTTGGATCTAAATTTCTTTTTTTTTTTTAATCTTCAAATCATACATTAATCTCTTTGAGTCAGAGAAACAAGAGAAAGTTATATATGTCAAAGATTATTCAGTGTAGTCATGAGAAATGAAATTTATCACACGTTCTGAATTTTAATTTTAATCATCATCTAGATCACTAGAGGGACTGATACCTTAAACCTATTTGATCCTCATTCACGAAAATCAAAAATAGTTAATTTGGTCCTCTTAAATACCTAGTGCCATTTTCTTCTTTGCCTCCTGATAAATAACTGAAATAAAACTAATGGATATACAAGTACAGAGATATCATAAGGTTGGGACCTCTGAGTCTGACAAACAAAAAGCCGATTCTGCCTCGGCAGCAGGCTGTAGACACATCTGGCTTACTTTAGCTCACAATGGAGTAATATGAATTGTGCTAAAAAGCACTATTTGTGCAAATGCAAATACTATTCCATCTGCTCAAGATTTTTTTTTCTTTATATAGCTTTTGTTCCAGTGTGGTAAAAGCCTGTTTCTTTACCCTGAAGTGCTCCTGCTGATGAAGAGTGAAGTACATGACAATGAACTAAAATCCATTATCAAACAAATACAGTGAGCTTTTCAGGAAGTCATCACAGGGAATGTTGCCTTTTTCTTTGGCATTAAGTTGAAAGCGATTTGTGCTCATGCAAATAAGACAAAGTGGTGGGGTTTTTTAAAAAAAAAAAGAAGAAGAAGAAAAATATATTTATATATATTCCATACACTGTAGTTTGCTTTGTAAATCTTCCATTTTTATCTCTTCTCGTGGTGGGGGAGGGCAACAGCAAAGCAGTCTGAGTTTTCTTTATTTTCTTCTGGTTTGAGTCATGATAAGTTCTTCAACAGCAGAATTTAGCTCTGCCTTATGCGCTCTTGAATAACTCACTTGGGATTTGGGAGAACTGCTTTCGTCTAGGGCAAGTTGGAAGAAAAGTTAACCCCTGTGCTGCTGAAAATAAACAGTAAATTTCCAGATTCCAACTTTAGGGTTTGCCAGTGGTAACCAATGAAAAGGTAAATCATTCAAGTTCAACCTCAAAGTTCACTTTTCCAAGAGCTCCTGTATTCCATCTAGTATCCAGATCTAAGGGCTTTGTGCCAGTCATATCTGTACGGTGAATAGACCACTCGACAGTGTCAGGAAGAGCATACGAACAAGTGACAATTAATTACACGACTGCTGCATGACAGCAATAAGCCAGGTCCGGAGTACACTAGTATTTGGGAAAAAAAGTATTCAACCCTTCTTCCACTTGGCT